ATATATATATATATATATATATATATATATATATATATATATATATATATATATATATATATATATATATATATATATATATATATGTAACCGGTCGGAATTTGCTGGACTTTAATTTCTCACTTGACTTGGGGTTTATTAAAAATTAATAGATGGTAATGGCAGTGGAAGCGCCCCTTTGAGAAAAATCCCGAACCAGCACAAGAACACTTAAATCTACTACACAAAATGAATTGTCCGTGACCCGTGGAAGGATAGCGTCTGTGACTGGGATGAATGAGACACACTGTAAAATTTAGACACTTATATTCCCTCCAACACTACAAACACAATCAAATAATGGTACACCAATATGCCCACCTCTTAACTTAAACTTAAAACACTACTCTGGGGAATAAAAGTTATAAATGACATAGAAATTATTAGAAACACAGGCAACAATAAATTAGAAGTATTAAGAAATGTTGCTTGCACACATGAACAGGCCTTAAGGACTTTCACAAAATAATATCAGTCACTTAGGAAATGGTACTAAAAAATAAGAAATTAAATACTCCACAATGAATAGGCCTTAAGGGTTTTCAACAAAATAATATCAGTCACTGAGGAATGGTAATAAAATATAAGAAATTAAATACTCTACAATGAATAGGCCTTAAGGGCTTTCAACAAAATAATATCAGTCACCGAGGAAATGGTAATAAAAATTAAGAAATTAAATACTCTACAATGAATAGGCCTTAAGGGCTTTCAACAAAATAATACCAGGCACTGAGGAAATGGTAATAAAAAATAAAAAATTAAATACTCTACAATGAATAGGCCTTAAGGGCACTCAACAAAATTATAGCACCCCAACAGATGCACACTTCCTAACCTAACTTAACCACTACTCTGGGGAACAAGGTTATACTTGAGATCAGAATTATGAAGAACAATCAGATGCATTAAAAGAATCAATGCACAGTATCACCCTGGTTCCACTTAATGACACAACATTCAAAAAGACACTACTATCAAAATTATTTAAGAAATATTAAACTACACACGTCAAGATAATATCAGTCTGAGGAATGGTGTTAACTACACCCGTAATAAAGAAGATAAAATGTTCCTCTAGGTATCTCCTAGAGTCCTAGACTCACGGTCTCAGTGTGTGACCATTAATATACTCAGATAGCCTCAGTGTACTCCCAGTGCGTCCATGGGCAAGAAGAGAGTGAGCCAATCAGACCTTGTGCAGTTGAGAGGAGCTTTGGCTTCCCGTTAGCAAGAGGGTTTCACCAAGTGGCTCGGGACATGTGGTGTTGTGAGCCGACGTGTTGAGAGCCGTCCGGGTGGACGGCTAGATTCCCTCAAGAGATCCTTTGGTACCCCGCTAAACAGTGACAGGCCTACTCTGATCGGTCCAATGGCGACAAACGCCACCCTCAATCATCAACGGCAGTCTCAAACGGCAGTCAATCTCTCGCAGTCAAACTCCGGTCAACTCCGGTCAACTCCAGTCAAGTGGGTTCTGACGGAAACCCTGAAATGAACTCACTGTTAGCTCTAGTTTACTTTATCACTGCCCTATCTAACCCTGTCTGAGATCGAATGAGACTTACTTGTTATACTGCAATAGCGCAGCACAGGTGACTAGGCCACGTGACTATTTCTGTGACAGACGCGCAGGGACGTCTTGTTTGGTATGAATCCTCCCTGCGACTGAGAGAGAGGCAGCGTCGCGTCTCCTCAAGGCGTTAGCTTAGCTCTACGTGACATATTTTCCGCCTAACTAATAACTCCTTGGGACACCCGTAACATTATTCAGACTGCTAAACGATCTATAATAATTTCAAATTCAATAATAGTCCCTTAACTTCATGAATCGCATCATTATTAATTCCGTAAATTACATTTAATATCATATAGGCCTAGTTCCGCAATCTCTCGCTACGAGCAGGCAGCGCTCTCTCCCCTCAGATGACCTTGAACTCTCAGTATCACTCATGGCGGGGCATTTGAAATTACTCTGAAATTTCTGAATATTACAATCGACCCCCCTAAAAAAAGAAAGCACTGTCCTCATGTGCTGAGAAAACATGCATACGACCCCCCTAAAATTTTGTTCTAAGGACTGCATCTCACCCCTTTAACGTGCTAAATGCAGCATTTGTCTTCTCTTCTCTCCTTTTCTCTCCCGCTAACATATATATATATATATATATATATATATATATATATATATATATATATATATATATATATATATATATATATATAAAGCAAAGAAGTATGTGTGTGTGTGTTTGTCTGTTTGTTTGTGTGTGTGTCCGCACGAGAATCTCAGAAACTACTTTACCGATCTGTAGTGATGATGGATGGTATTATATGTAGTGATGATGGATGGTGTTATATGTAGTGATGATGGATGATGATGTTATATGTAGTGATGGTGGATGTTGTTATATGTAGTGATGATGAATGATGTTATATGTAGTGATGATGGGTGGTGTTATATGCAGTGATGATTAGACAATAAAATAATAACAGTTTAATGCTAAAAAAATATACTTTGCTGTACCGTTGTAGTAGAACATACATACACCGTTAATGAACTATTGATGGAAGAGGAAGTTTTGGGGACTGAACAGTGAGACAATATGGAGCCTCTCGGAGGGTGGCGTCCTACCGTGGCGTAGCGAATGTTGATACAGTAATCGACCAGGACCAAGCAGTCCA